ATTAAGGACAATAGCGCCCCGAACCGAACAGAGCCTCAGGGAAAACTAAGTCTCCCTGAAACTAAAATCTGGTTGCTTTGTCCTCTGGTCCTTTAGGAGTTCCTGATAGTTGATGATGAGTCATCTTCTGCACGGCTGCCGAGGAGGTTGGACTCTCTCTGCTTTGAAGATGCTATAAAACATTTTATGTGTATTTTCTATGTTTAATCAAGTGACCTATTTGTATTTACATTCCTTTTGATGATCCAAAGCATTTATATGGGAAAAAAATGAAAAGAGGAAAGTGAATACTTTTCCACAGAGCTGGATTTGTAGGAAGTTTGTGACTTTACTCTGGTCAGAGAAAATATTCAGGACAAAGCAGGAGGAATGTAGGCAGTGAAGTGACAGAAAAATGTCTTAAAACAGTTAATTATTTCATTGACTGACTGGGTGCCACGTCTCCTTGGCCAATCTGGCTAACATGTCCCATGTTTTTTTTGACAGTTTTCCACGTTTGTTTTAATCCTGCTTTTGTGTTTAGAACCTTTTGCTTAGCGTCTCCCTGAGGTTTTAACTGGATTATCAAATCTGATCATTTATTATCGTTGGCTTTTCTGATACTGCAACGTGCACAACCCCAAATCCTGACACTAGTAAGGATTTTGGTTTGTTTTTATGACGTTCGGCAGAAATAAAATATAAAACAACCTTCAGTATGTAAAGCATTCAACTTTTATTAAGTAAAAGATCCATATGAGCTTCACAGCCAGGCTGCTTTTCCCATCTTCATGTCTCTGTGTGCAGAGGGTAAACTGACCATCTTATTCTCCCTCTCTAAACCACTTTTTATTGCTGTGTAGGTGCCATAAACACAGGTATTATTCTTTAATAGTCCTTTATTCTTTAACATACAATACTGCACTTTGACCTTTCTGAAGTGGAACATCAAAGTTTTTTTTCCCTTTCGTCTGTATTTCTGCTTGTCATGTTAAGGACTGTTAAGGACATCTATGAGTATATAACCAGCCTTCAGACCAGACATCAGTGTCAGATTATTTCTAGCCATTGGTGAGCCATTCTCCCTGAATCCTTTCTGATCTAAAGGTCTACCTGTTGCTAGACCTGGACCTGTGCACCGACTTTTCCTTGGATTTCCCCTTTCTAAGGAACTCAGAAAGTTGGACCCAGAATTCAAGGCGAGACAGGCAGTCAGAAAGTTCAAAATGTGTATTAACACAAAAAACAAACAGGAACGTGGGGCTGCTCATCAGCTGCGGGGCGAATCTCTGCAGGGATTGGAAATACAGGTCAGTGGTTGTATGTCAGGCTAATCACGACTAGGAGCAAAGTCACTGACCTGATTCAAAGTTCAGTCCGATCCCGGGGGAAAGAGTAGAATCCAAACCACAGGTTACTACCAAGCTTGCGGCGGGCGCCACCCCCCCAGTGTTCCTAGAGAGAGAGCAGAGCAGGCGCCAGCTGACGCCGAGCAGCAAACGTGTCCTTGAGGGGGAAACCCAAGTCGGAGTCAGAGAACAGGTCCAAGTTCAAAAGCCAGCAGAATCCATCAATCAGTCCAGATCAGATCATTCTAACAGAGCAGGCAGGGACAAAGCAAAACTGCAGAAACTGCAGAAACTGGTCATAATCAGGAAAACAGAACAAAACTCTGAACACTAGAGTTAATCTCACCAAACTGCTCAAATAACCTGGTGCTGATGGAAGGCAAGCAAACAGCATTAATAGCAGAGGAACCAGGTGGAGCCCTGGACCTGCTCATAGACCTCACACTCTGCTTTGCCCTTTTGCTATTTCCTGCTTGATTTAGCTCTCACGGTTCTGACCCATTGCACCCCCCTGGAAAAAAACATTTAATGAAGACAGAAGGATTCGTTAGAGACGTCCCAGAGAAACTTCTGAGCACAACGAGGCTCCATGACTTCACATGCCATCTGGTGACACCATTGATTCTCTGTCTGACTTCATTCCACCCGTCATTTCCTGGTCATAATAATTCCCTCTCTCATTAAAGAGGTTGAGAGTTCAGTGTAACGATCTTGGTTCTGTTTTTTTTCTCTAAGTTTTCAGTTTCAAGTTCATCCAGGTTTTTCCTTGTTTTCTAGCTTTATTAGTGTGCCTGGATTCATTTAAGTTTCCTTTGCTTGTCCTCTGTTGCCCCCTCGTGTTCTTTTCCCTTGGCTTCCTCATCAGCTCTAGTCACACCTGCTCCTTATCAGCTCGTTAGTCCCGCCTTTGTTCAGTCAGCCATAAATACACTCCCTCTGCAGTCCCTCAGTGCTGGTTCCTCGTCTTACTTCATCCTACCCTGGCTCATCATTATTGTTTTCCCCTGATGTCTCCATGGTTCTGGTTTGTGTTTAATTCTTATGTTGTTTTTTTTTGGATTCCTGTTTTGATTAACATTTTTAAGTTGGATTTTTTTTGGATTACTGTTTGGCTGCCTGTCATCCTTAATTAAACCTTCAAAGATCTCACCCCTGCCTCTCAGCTTCTGCTTTTTGGTCCTCACAAAAACCTTTAAAACCAAACCTTGACATCAAGCTCCAGTCTTTCAAATCTTGCTGTAATTTTTTATAAAATAAACTGTTAAACTGTTACTCTGTATTCTGGCTGAATTCCTGGTCCTCAGATTTGGATCATTATAACGGAGCTCTCCAAGGCCAGTCAGCTACATTTAACTGTTTAATACAAAGCTGCTGGCTGAACTCTAGAGCAGTGACAATTTCAGTTCACTTACCAGCACATCATCATACACACTGGGGCTATGCTGACTTTCTAAATTTAGACTGTTCTGAGTTTTAATGAGAAACAAACAACAAAGATTTTGTATTTACTTTGAAGCCAGATTGACTCCCAGGCTTTGAATTAAGCCTGATGGCGCACACTAACGGTGAGACAACTGTGCTGCTGCAGTGACTGATTGTGCCCCTCTGAATTTTGAAACTTAGTGCACACTGTGTGCTCTCTGCATGATCACTATCAGTGTAGTCCTGCATGACTCCCCTAAGTTTGAGTATTACTCATCCTTAAGGATGAGGATCTTCTGAACACTAAATGCATTTAGTCAGACGGAAATATCTTCTGCTGAATCTGTTTATTTCTGTAGAAAGTTTCGTGTCATAGTCTAACTTTAAGAGTTGCTTTCCTACAGCGAGGGAGACAGTTGGAGGAATGAGAAGAAAATTTAGAAATCTGAATTAAAACATGAGCAAAAAAAGAGCCTGTAGTAAGAGTCGCAAATTGATAAACAAACCAAACTGCTTTGGATCAAATTCAGAGGTTAGAAAAATATTGTGCCGTAAATATAAGAATGTAAAGTGAAGATATTTATCTTCCACACCTTCCAATCAAGAGTATAGAACAGAAGGAAGTAGACCAACAGATCAACCAAAGCCAAACATCAAGATTTCTCCAAAGAACTGTTTACAAACCACCTGATTTAGGAAAACCCTTTAATATTTTCTCCAAATAATGTTTGAATTTCGTTTGAAACTATTCCAGATGCTCCAGATTCTTCAAGATAAACCTTGGCTCCTAAATAGTTATTTGATTAAATAAGACAGAAATACAACAGAATGTAATTGCATAACACCAGGATTGGTCTTCAACCTTCAGCTGGGATCTAAATTAAGTCACAACATCTACAGGCTTCACCAACCAGAGAAATGGTTCTATGAATAGTTCAGGTTATTAACTCCCTCACCACAGAACAATAAACGGTTTAACAAACTGTTTCAGATGATTCATGTCAGTTCATTAAGAAGCAGATCTATGGAATAAAGCTGAACCTCCTCCATAACCTTACAGCTACTGAAGTCTTGCTTCCACAGAGTCAGATGAACCTTTAGTGATGTTGATCAGTAGTTTCTGGGTTTAATTTGGACAAATTATGCTTTCACAGTTCTCTCAGACGAGTCCCCAGTCCTTCTACCTCACCATAATGGTCTCTTCAGACTTTTTGTTGCTACAAAAAAGATTTACAAAACATGAATGATTCAGAAAAGCATTACAGAGAACAACCGGAATCTGCTACCAGCTGTTGAGGAACCATCTAGTTGAAGCTCAGTTCCTGCCTGTCTTTCTGTATCCTTTGGGATTTTCCTGTTAGATCTACAACAGACGCGAGGTGAACGTCTGTCTTTATGACACGTTAGAAACAAAAAAAAAAAAGAAAATAATGACATACGCTCAGTAACAGGTTGGGAACTTGTCTCCCTTTTTTTAAAGTATATATAAAAACAATAAACAATTAAAATGTTCAGGTGCTTGTATGAAAGAAAATCCATTATCCAGTTTTTGTGAAGCAGAACATGTAGATATGATGAAAGCAGTGAGGCTTCAGATCCTGATTTTAGAGCCTTTTATTAAAATTACAGAAGAGATTCTGATCATTCTGGTCAGTCTGAAAATATTACATATAAAGTTATCGATTTACTGAAAGTTTCCTCCATTAATCATTCTGGTTTCACAGCTGATAAATTTAACAGTTTATATTTACTGCTCTGTTCAAAAATGTACTTTAGATAAGAACTGAGTTAAATCTAAAATCAAACAATTAATAATTATTAAATATGTTTAAACACATTTCTAACAAGGTTAAGTTGTGTGCAGAGGATCAGTGACTCTGGAGGAGCAGAAAGTTTCAGTCGTTGTTTCTGATCACTGTAGAATCAAACGTCTCAGAATCCAGCTTGGTTTGATCCAGAACCTGAAACTCATTTAATCTACAGTAACCAGGTGTTCAGCCGATGGTTTGGTCCTAGTCTTCAGTTCACTGAAGAGAAAAGGAGAAAAATTAATGAATCAATTAGATGGAGACACCCAGCAGCTCACAGTCCTTTAATTATTACATCAGTTTGTTTTATTCCTCAGAGAAAATGTCAGCCTTCCAGATCACTGACAGGAAAAACAATCTATCCCATAATAATCAAGTAAAGAACAGTTTTCTATCTTACCTGGTTGGGAGTTCAGAACAACTTGTTCTACTTCTTTTGTTTGATCCTGTTATGTAGAAGAAAAGTCAGTGATTTCTTCAATAAAGTGAATATTTCTATCAACATCTGTTCAGTTAATAAACCTACATACCCTTTGGGATTTTTGTTTTTTTCTGCAAATATCTGTGAAAAGGTCAAATGCTACAGTTATTAAAACAATGATTAACTTTTAATTATCTGCAAAGAATATTAAATTAAATTCAGTTTATTTCTATAGCGCCAATTCAGAACACACGTCATCTCAAGGCACTTTACAGTTCAACCAGATCATCCAGTCACATTGATTCAAAGTTTTCTATCTAAGGAAAACCAGCTGATTGCATCGACTCATTGACTCTTCAGCAATCCCTCACACTAAGCATGCTTGTAGCGACAGTGGAGAGGAAAAACTCCCTTTGAACAGGAAGAAACCTCCAGCAGAACCAGGCTCAGTGTGAGCAGCCATCTGCTAAGGCCGACTGGGGTTCAAGGAGACAGAAGCAGACATAGAAAAAGAAGCATAGATACAAAAGGCAACTGTCAACCAGCTCCACAGGCGGCCCCGTCCAGGAAACACACAGCCAGGCAGACGAGCTCCGAGCCAGCTCCCATGTCAGAGGATGAAAGAGAGCTCATCTACTTAGTCACAGTAAGAGAAAAAGGACTACACCTAAAAACAGACAGATCTCGAACATCTAGAAACAAAGGTGTTGATGGCAGCAGCACAGCTGATATTTCTCTCCAGGATGGAGTCACAGCCAAACAGGAACAGACCAGATGAAGCTACTATGAGAAAAAGCAGAGAGAGCAGAACGTTAGAGACTGAACTAACAGATTCTGCAGAGTGGGAGAATAGAGATAGAATGAAGCAGAATTAGGAAAAAGGGGTCCCTATGTCCTCCAGCAGTCTAAGCCTATAGCAGCATAACTATAGAGATAGCTCAGGATAACCTGAGCCACTCTAACTAGAAGCTTTATCAAAAAGGAAAGTTTTAAGCCTAGCCTTAAAAGTAGACAGGGTGTCTGCCTCACGGACTAAAACTGGTAGTTGGTTCCACAGGAGAGGAGCCTGATAACTAAAAGATCTGCCTCCCATTCTACTTTTAGAAATTCTAGGAACTACTAGTAAACAAGATAAGGTGTATTCTAGGATTTTTTTTGTCTTACCTAATAGTCTCTTCCTTTGATATTTCCAGAGAAAAACAACAGCAATAGTCGCTGCCAGAACTAAAAAACCCATCACCCCACCGATCACTATTCCTGTGATGTTTTTCTTTTCTCCACATTCAGCATCAGTTGAAGTATTTCCTGCTTTTATCAGCTGAAGGTTTTGTTCTTCACATCTGCAGTAACAGAAACATGCATCCAGGTTAATGCTCTGCTGAACATCCTGCTGTGTTTCAGGTGTTTCTAAAAGACTAGCTTACTGTGTGTGTTGCTGACAGGACGACATTGATCCATCAGAAAACGTTCCAGCGACGCAGTCAGAGCAGTCTGTGTCTGTGGAGGCTGTTCCTGAACAAACACAAACCAGTTTGCAGGAAGTTGGTCAGAAAACTCTGATCAGATGTTCAGCTATAATAAACATGTAACTCAGTTTATCTTTCTTTATCGTCTGACTATAAATATAAAGTCAGCAGTCATGTTAAAAGCAGAGGATGTCCAACCTGTCCTCCTGATGAACTGTCCTGGTTCACAGCTCCTGTGTCTCTGTGCTGCTCCACAGCCTCCTGGTTTAAGGTCAGTACAGAAGAATCCCTCCATTGGTTCACAGACTGTGTCTGCAGATCGTCCACATTCTTCTTTTACCTTCAGACCAGCTCCTGAAAACACAAACAGGTTATACGTTTAGGGATAAAACTTGCATCCAAATGTGCCTGTTTTCCATTAATAGTTGCAGCCATAGGCGTCATTAAAAGCAGACCTCTGGAAATACAGTAATACAGCCATCATTTCGGGATGGTGTTCCAACAGGATTGTCTGAACCAAAATAGCAGAAGATGCCTCAGAATATTGTCTCAGAGCTCAGGGGAAAATTATATTTTATTTAAAGCGCATTTTAAAAACAGCCAAGGTCACATAAACAAAAAAAAACATAGTTAACAATACCCAATATTAAAGTCAGCACAGGGAAAAATATAATCTTCATGTAAAATGAATTAAAAATAATATTTTCTCATTAGTATATTACTGTATTTATGTCTAATATGTCAACATATTCTCATTATCAGTTCGTATGAAATCGTACGAAAAGTTATGCACATTATTTCGTACGTTTTGGACGTTTTTCCTCAAAAAACCACATCAGTGCGCAGCCAGACAGACGAAAATAGCAGATCCGCGGACGGACGTAAAACTGGGAAAAACAGTGCAATAATTACTTCTTGATGTCTCTCACTAGGTTGCTTGCTGTTTTGTATGTTAGGGTCAGGGTTAGGATTAATTGTATGTTAAATTCTATGTTATTGAATGGTGCGAAAGATGCGCATGCGCAAGGATATCTTGTCTCGAGGCAAGACCTAAAAATACGACGAAAAAAACTTACGAAATTACTGTGCACAACTTTTCGTACGATTTCATACGAACGGATAATGAGAATACACTGAATATGTCAGACTAATGGTAGCCAAAGCCAGCTATATTAGCTGCAAGAGTTCACCTGTCTATCAAGGCCTGTGTTTGGTGTGGTTTGGTTTATGGTTTGTAAATATTAGAAGCATATTTATGTTTGAAGTTCTACGTTATATTCATGTTGCCTCCCAATCACTTAGACATCTGAAAAAAATCATGGTAAAAAAAGTTAGGGGAACTTAGGCACCCTGACTGTAAGAAGGAGCGCTACCGCAGGTCATTCATTCCTGCTGCCACCAGACTCTATAATGCTGCACTATAACCACAATAACTCCTGTAAAAACCACTGTGCAGCTATATTATAGTTTTTTATTTATTGACTGTGCAATATTCTGTGCAATATGCTGACTGTGCAATATATGTGAATATAATAGTCATACCACTACCTCACTGTGGCTCCTCACCTACTACACTTTAACGTAAAAGTAAATCCACCTCTATATAATCCATCCTGATTGTACATATGTCAACTCAAATCTCTGTGCTACTCCCTTGTATTTTTTTATTTCTTATTTTTATTTTGTTTTTCATTGTGTGCGATACATGTACACTTGCGCCTTAATCCTTATTTCTTTTGATATACTGTATATACCTGGATAAACTGTATATATATTGTTTATTCTTAATGCACCTTTTTCCTCCTTGTTTGCACCTTCTTCCTTATTAACTATGCCAATATGTGACCAGTGAATTTCTCCGCTGTGAAATCAATAAAACTCATTTAATCTAACCTAATTTACTGAGGCAGCCTGTCAGGCCGCAATGTCAAGAATCCACTCATATTCAATTTGCATTAGACATAGCCTGCTACAGTTTAAGGTGCTGCACTGATTGTACTAATAAGTCCCCTAATACGTTATCTAGAATGTATCCTAACGTAGACGCATCTTGTGTCTCACATTTTGGGAGTCAATCTTTAGGGTGATAACATTTATATGTTAGAGGAATATTGAAACAAAGTGCTCTTACTGCCTTATTCGGGGTTGTACCTCCAACTACACCAATAACAACACAGCAGGCCAATGCCACAGCATTTGTTACAATATTTGAAAAACGTCTCATATTATTCAATTGGAAGAGAGCGGCTCCTCCGTCTCATAAGGAATGGATGGAGGATGTAATGTTCCATCTAGAGCCATCCCCTTCTCCATCCCACCCTCTCATCTTACTAATATGTGATGTCAGCACCTGTTGAGATTTTGTTTTTTTCTCTGTTTAATTGTTGTTCTTACATGTTTAAAACTAATAAAAAGATTTGAATGATAATAATATTAATGCTGTCTCTCCACAATTTAACTTCAACTTTTCCCTGCACCTCCTCAGAGAAACCCCCTTCTTCAGCCCAAAGCCAATCAGTGAACCGAAGTCTGTTAATGTCACATTTCAGTCCCGCTATGCTCCCCTTATACCACCTGATGGGGAGGCACAGAAAAGACAGAAACCTCCCAAAGCTGACTGAGTGGGGTGGGGTGGGCACAATATGCTAATAGTCTGATAGAACATTCCCTCCTGATGGATGGAAAGGATTTATATCATTTAGATATAAGAAGCATAGAGGAAATCAGTGTGACTGTAGTTGATCATATTAATAAAGTGAGTCTGGGTGGTCCAGAATACAGCAGCCTTTAGACCTTAAAAAGACTAGAAGCCTTTAGCCTCATGGTTGCACCTTTATCACAGGTGGAGCATGGAGAGCATCTCTTCAGTCCATTTGGGACGTCTATATGAGTTCCAGCTGAGCAAGGCTGACAAGATGTAGTTCTGAGCTCTGTGCAGTCTGTTTTAACACGATTCACTGAAAAAAAACAAAAACATTGAATTATTATGTGGTTTGCATGTTGAGCATCTTTCAGGTATAAACAGGCTTTTCATTCAACAGAACAAACTATGAACAGCAAAGATGTGGAACGTACCAGGAGGACACATTGGACAGCAGATGTCCCCCACGCTGTACTCTGCTTGATGACATGTGGTGGTTTGAACTCTGGAGGCTCTCATTAGGATGAGCTGTGAAAAAGGAAAACCTTAGTCAGTCACATGTGGCGAGCCTGTTGATGTGGTGAGTGAGATGCACATGTTTGACTGTTTATGGACTGCGGTCCATAAGTGGACCGGTGTCGATGGAAAAATGCCAGGGCCGAAAATCATACCCAGTCTGAAAACCAGTTGATTGCATTGACTCATTGACTCAAATACAATCCCTCACACTAAGCATGCTTGTAGCGACAGTGGAGAGAAAAAACTCCCTTTAAACAGGAAGAAACCTCCAGCAGAACCAGGCTCAGTGTGAGCGGCCATCTGCCGAGGCCGACTGGGCCTCGGCAGAATAGGAGAACAGAGATAGAATGAAGCAGAATGATGAAATGGGGTCCCTAAGTCCTCCAGAAGTCTAAGCCTATAGCAGCATAACTATAGAGATAGCTCAGGATAACCTGAGCCACCCTAACTATAAGCTTTATCAAAAAGGAAAGTTTTAAGCCTAGCCTTAAAAGTAGACAGGGTGTCTGCCTCACAGACTAAAACTGGTAGTTGGTTCCACAGGAGAGGAGCCTGATGACTAAAAGATCTGCCTCCCATTCTACTTTTAGAAATTCTAGGAACCACTAGTAAACCTGCAGATTGAGAGCGAAGTGCTCTGTTAGGAACATAAGGAACAATCAGATCTCTGATATCAGATGGAGCTTGGCCATTTAAGGCTTTATATGTGAGAAGGAGGATTTTAAATTCTATTCTGGATTTAACAGGAAGCCAATGAAGAGAAGCCAGGATAGGCGAGATAAGATCTCTCTTTTTCATTTTCATCAGAACTCTGGCTGCAGCATTTTGGATCAGCTGAAGGCTTTTAACTACAGTTTGTGGACTTCCTGAATAGTAAAGAATTACAATAGTCCAGCCTTGAAGTAACAAATGCATGGACTAGTTTCTAGTCTGTTGCAGGGTCAGACAGGGACACAAAACCTCACACACACACACTCACGGATAAGGATATTTTAGAGAAGCCAGAGAACCCAACAGTCATGTTTTCGGACTGTGGGAGAGAACCCACACATGCACGGGGAGAACATGCCAAGTCTATGCAGAAAAACCCTGGGCCGAGAATGAAACCCAGAACCTGCATGGTAGCAGTGCCAACAACTGCACCACCGTGCAGCCCTCTAATACAGGAGTCTTCAAAGTTTTTCCAGGCCAAGGACCCCCAGACTGATGGGGAGATGGAGCGGGGACCCCCTAATTATATATATGGTATGTAATTGTGTTCTATCAAACTGGTCCTATAGTCACTCTATTACAGATGGATTAATATAATGAAAGTAATCCCACCCTGGGATTATTAAAGTATTTCTGCTTCCTGGTTGATGGGACAGGTGTTGTGAATGAAACGGTGTCCAGCTTGAAAGAGCTCCTGTGTGTCGCTGAATGTGTGCATTGATGACTGAAAGACATCTTCTGCCTCCATTTATCTGTTTACTGCAGTCTGTTGAATTCATGTTAATGTGGATTTAAAGACATTTCAGTTAGTGGAAAGAATTGCAGGGGCGGATATAAAAAAAAAATCAACCAAAACTTTCTTGACCAACATGCAGAACCTCCATGGACTCCCTAGGGGTCGCAGTTGAAGTCTAATAAGTCTAATTTTCTCTAAAATCTTAGAAAACTACAGAAACTGTCTTTTAATGAGACTCTGACGTGTTTTACGCCACATGGTTTCATGTCAAGTTGATGGAAAATGTTCAGTTTAGATGACATCAGCAAGCATCAATAAAACGAAATTAGCGAATCAGATCATGTCTGAGTGTCATTTTGATTTTTGCTTCATTATAAAACGTTGGTCTTCAAACAGCCACTCCCCTGCTTCAGGTTTCTAAATGTCTTTACATGCAGTGATCTCAAACCTCAGCGCTGCTTTCCTGTGACCGTTGCCCAACCTGTCTGATTCAAGTGGCTAAATCACCTCATTAGCATTTAAGGAACAGAGTTTGGAACCACTGAGTGATGTAGAAACTTTTATGATTTACAGTGAAACACTTGCAGTTAGCTTTATGTTGGACTCAGCCTTCAGTTTATCTGGAGCAGAATGTGATGTCACTGACTGTAAGCTGGGAAAACTCTCAGGTCTCCATTAATCCCATTTATTAGAACAGATTCACCTGTTTAGTTTGATGTTGTAGCAAAGCACCTGATGGAGGCGTATCTCTGGGTAACAGAGAGATCATGAACCAACAGACCGTGTTTCTCCTTCAGAGAGAGACACACTTTGACCTTTGCTCTCTTTATCACCGAGGGAGATTTCCCCTGCTTTATCGGCATTCCTCTGAACAGTGGAGGAGAACTAAAGGGTAACTGAATAAAGCACTTGGAACATAAAACCTACTAAACACAAGCTCTACACTTTAAAAACTACTTTTTGAGTAAAATGAAACCAAAAACAAAGAATGCAGTAAATTACAGCAACATAAGTAAATATAATTCATTACTCCATTACATTTTGCACACAGAGAAAAAAAAAAGTTTCCCAAATAAGGAGCAGGACATTTCAGCCTAAACAAGAAGCTTTAAATAATAAGCTTTCAGTCTGTTTCACAGACAACCAGAGTTTAGTTCATTTATTGACCAGTTGATCATTTCATAGGAATCACAGCCGTACGGCACATCCACCAATCAGCTATAAATATATTTACCAGCAACATAGATGTTGTTATCCAAGCTGTTCTTCTCCACATCATTCTCAACGACAGGAGACCTTTTCTCCCAACGGATCTGGACAAATTGTTTTATACAGATGGAGGACGGACGGAGCTGGGACACCTAAAGCAGGAAGTCAACATCTGAAAAAAAAGAAAACAAACCTACAGTTTATGACCAGCCTGAAGGAAAACAGGCTGCATGATTACAGGAAAACATGTTACTATTAATGAATGATGGAGGGATGATGGGAACTCTGATAAATAAAGATTTTTAATGTCTTTCTGCTTCAGTTACTCAGATATATAAAAGTAGCATCTGACTAAATCTGCTGTTCCAGAAATTAAACATTTAACTAAACTTTCTCAAACACTTTATAATAATATCCCGATGCTTTTCTGGTGCATTAAACAACAAATCATCAAATACTTTAATAAAGAACCTGGAGATTATTACCTCTGATTTAATTAAAATCATTTTATGACAGACAGGCAGCTTTTTGCTATATACTGTAGGTATTGTGTATAAATGAATATTGCATAGCTATAAATTCAGGATACATTCTGCAGGCCAAGAATGAAGCAGAATTATTATCCTAAAGGGGAATGGATGCTGGATCAAGTTTTCCCTCCAGTTGGATATCAGGCGTCGCTTCATGGAGAAAGAAAGATTTTAATAAAAAGGATCCAGAGTGTGAAAAGGAAACCTCTGCTGTTTGATAAATCATCTTTAAATGAGAGCGATCTGTGCAGCACTGACTGAGAACATCCGTACGACGAACAGAGGCTCGTTACTTTGAGCTCAGTTCCTCTAATAAACAACAATCATTAATATAAAACAAGATTAAATAGACATTTAAAGTATCAAACACCATAAACCATAACTCATACAGAGCAACTTATAATGAAGTTTTCTGAATAAATGTATAAGTAAGCAGATAACTTCTCTAATTTACCTGATAGAATAAAGATTTATTGATTTATTTTTCATGAAGACTAATCATCTGATCCAAAACATGTCAGCAACCGCAGTCTGAGTCAGGTAAAATACTTCCTCCACAGTTACTGACAGTCAGAGAGAGAAAATGAAACCATTGCAAACAAAGTCTTTGAAACTTGACACCGCTTTCTATTTAACAATAACAATAAATGTTACAAAACCAGGCTGCAAACCAAATGAAACCTTTATGGTCTGTCCTTCCTTGGTTAAAAGCACAGATTTTTAAGGGCAGCTGACAATTTACTTCTTTACATATTTGCTTGAAATTTAACAGGCATAAGAAAGAATGAAAGTAAAGTGTGACTCAAATCCAGGAAGCAATAAAGAGACTGTAGCTGTTCCCGACATTAGGACGGACTATCATGTTTTAACATTGCAAGATTAAAAACATAATTTAGACTTCCCTCCACTGCTGTCCTCAGGCTGAGGCTGCAGTGTTGAGCTAATCGTTACTTTAATAAAACGTTTTCTACTTATTGAAAAATCATTTTTCTCACTATGTTACAATTGAAATCTTATGTTATAAAAGCTTTATTATCCTAAAAAATTGCACTTTATTCTTGCAATAAAAAGAGAAGTCCCAGTATGGCCATAATGCATGTTAATATAAACTGAATCTAATTTATAAGCAAGTCCAGCAAACTTACCTTCACCAGACATAAACAATGATGTTTCCTCTGCTGCCTTCCATACTTTCTCTAACAGGTCCAATGAAGTTTCTGCACCTTTGATCCACTGATGGCAGCCAGCCCTCAGCAAATAAAGGAGTATGGCAGGTCAGTTTATCATACAATCAGCTAGGTCCCACAAACTCTTTTTACATTCTGGAAATCTATAAACGGTATTTATAATTAATAAATGAATTCTGACTTTATTGAATAATCAGTGAAGATCTATGCAACAACAGAGCCTTTCAAAGTATCACAAATTATGTCACTAGATTCATCCTGTTAGGGCTCAAAACTCCATAATTACAGTTCAAGATATCTGTAAACAAATAATGAAATACTTAATTGCATTTTATATATCTCAAAATAACTAACTACTAAATTTGACCTCTGGTGTTGGCATTAAACCGTACAAAAGGTTTTCTTTTGGGAATACAGGTTCCTAAATCAAGTGGTCTGCTTTTGTCAGAAAATGCCCCAACATTAAAAGAGCTCAGCAGTTTGCAGCTACGTGAAGAATGTGAACTTCTGTGTTTGGTGACTGGTTAAGAAACCTGCAAAGTAATGCACTGATTTTAGTGCAGCATGAAAAATCATGGTGAAACACAAGAATTAAAGTTCGACTGAACTTAGATTGCAGATCACTGATGAGAAAATGCAAGTGGCTAAAATCCCAAATAAATCTGGAATTTTTTGATTGGACAGAATCTGAAACACAATGGCTTTCTAGATAAAAACAAAAGCTTAATCTCTCTCTAATTCTTTTGAACTGGGTGAACCCTAAACCTTAAAAATAATTTTTGAAAATTTTTAAAGGCTAAAATACACTTTAAGTTGTCTGATTTAATTTAGCCATTCTGATTATTTCCTCTTAAGATATCTGCAATTAAAATAAATATATAAATAAATAAATAAAATATCCAAATCATAGTTTCAGATTTCTAAACAAAATATAATAACTAGTTGGAATAACAAGCTAAACATCTGAAATTTTCTTTATTAAACATCATTAAATATCTCAAATACATTTTTAGACTTAACTTATTGCTTATATCTTGAATTAGAAGCTCCATATAACTCCATGGTAAATTCAACCTCATTGATTTCAGCCACAATGTAATTAGAGATGACATCTTTGTTAACTAATATGTATTTATAATTCAATTTTGGATATGTGGAGTTTAAATGTGATAAATCTGATTTTATGACTAAACAGTCTGCCATAACTGGCTCTGATATTTTCAGATTATGCCTCAATAATAACCGAGCTCAGCAGTATGGGATGAACAGAGAAAGTTAACTTTATGTCCTTGAAGACATGAAGAAAAGCATTTTAGATTTAGTCTCTTACCTTCACACATTTTATCTCACTGTGAAATTAGTTTAATTTGACTAAAGGAGGCGCTGTTTCTCTTTCAGACCTTAACTTGGCCTTAAAGGAGAGGTGGAAGCTGATGTCTCAATATGAGTCGCAAAAGATCCAGGAATCTGTATTTATGTTGAAGTTATTTTGCAAAAAGTTGTTAAAAGTGTAAATTTATTTATTTAAAAGAAAAAGAGTTTTATGAACTTATAAAATTTCAAAATAGAGTCTTGGCATCATAAGACGGGGTTACCTGCTCAGAGAGGCTGACAGATCTAGAACTTGAAGGGAAACTTGAAATATTTCCAGCATTGTGATGTTAAAGGAACAGAAACGCCTGCATCCAAATTCCACCTTCTTCAGATTCAATAAACAACAGAATAAAACTCTGTGTTAAAGCTGTTGGTTGACTTTTATTGGTAAACTTAATGAGGATAAATATGTTGCTCAGTCTGTGAGGAGGAAATATAGATCACATGTGAGTTCGAATCGCGGAAAGATGTAGAGCAACTAGAATCGTGCTGACACCATGACCGAATCCATATACATCTGATATATAGAATAGAATGGAAAATCCCTTTATTGTTGTTAGGTTTATTCAATGATGATTATAAAATGAATGTATGTATGCTTATGAAAGATTTGAGCAAGGGGATGCTCCACTGTGACTTGTGATTCAGTCAGGTGACCATCCTGCCTTGTGATTCTGGGCATCCTGTCTTTATGAACTGATCAATTGTTTTGTCAGAACAACACTGTTTTATAACTATGTGTTATGTTCTGTTCATAAAAGACGGCTGCAGAAGTTGCTTAAATCTCTTTCCTGTGTAGACTCAATTTCTCTTTTACAAACCTACATTTTTTTAACCTAACAATTGTCCCTCAATGGGGAAATTCTGGTGTTTACAGCAGCAAAAAGATTATAGGAAAAATGGTCACACAAATGTGGATGTGGTGGCTGCAACTACAGCCACCCAAATGCGGTAACATTTAATCACATCACACAATAGGTCAGCCAGTCTCATTACATTAATATTGGGATTTCTTTAAATTTAGGATTTAATTTACAGAATAATTTTTGCAAGGAAAGGCATAACACTGTATTCTGGAATACATGCGCACATTTTAGTTTACACTGTTATGTTCTGCTTGATTTAATCTTTGTTTGTTTTTTCACCTCAATGCCGGCTGCTCCAGTCCTTCAGGAGAGCAGAGGTGGAGAAGGAGTGGAGCCAGCCTATTGAAACCGCAAATTGGTTTACACCGCTACTTATCAGCAAGAGAGGGGGGGGGGGGGGGGGGGGGGGGGGGGGGGGGGGGGATTTTCCTCTGTTAGTTTCAGTTAGGCTTTTGTGTGTTTCCCCCTTTGTATGTGGCCTGGTCTGCCAGTATTTAAGTTTCCCTTTTGTCTCATGTAGCAGGTATGTTTGTTTTAGTAGGTCTTGAGTTGAATTCTGTTACTTTGACCTCTTTTATGGGCCCAACTTTGTAATTTGTTCTTTAGTTCTTTGTTTTGGGTTCGATAAAAAGAATACTTTTTGGATCTAAACCTGTGCCTGAATTTCCTTTGACTGCTCGGACCATCACATGAACCTTAGAAAAATGTATGAGAATAAATAGTGAAAGGTTAAAGATAAACAACAAAATATTGTATGGTAAACTATTTTAACAGAATAAAAACTGTGCACCTGGAGAATAAATAAATAATATACATATAGTTATGGACATTTTTACAGTATGGATATTTGAAAATAGATTTGATTTGTTTTAGCAAATCATAAATGCTGAGAGGGAAAAAAAAGACATTAAATGTAAAGAAACCTAGTGTACTTTGCTTGTTTTTCCAGATATAGCATCAGATATTACACCTAGCTAACAAAAACAGTAGAGAGCTGAAAAATATCCAGATGATAAAAGTTCTTAACATCAATTTGATACAGAAATATAAATGAGAAGTTTTGATATATAGTGATTTATCTGAAATTCTGAGTCTGAATAAACTATTGAGCAAAAATGCTAATATTTCATAATAAAAATTAATAAAAAAAATATTAAAAACTTAAAATGTAAAAATAAAGGGCGTAACTTTTGTAGACGATGGAGTGCTAT